TCTCTCTCTCTCTCTCTCTCTCTCTCTCTCTCTCTCTCTCTCTCTCTCTCTCTCTCTCTCTCTCTCTCTCTCTCTCTCTCTCTCCCTTTTCGATGGCCTTCCTTTTGAAGTGACAACCATCGCCTTTAGAGCCTCTCGTCCCCATACCGGTGATGTCAACCGCCTGCGTCCGCGCGGACGTCGACGCCCCCGCCAAGGGGAGAAAGCTTAGATTTCGTCACCCCCCCCCCCTACGCACCCACTTTGGAGAGAGAAGCGTTGCGACGATTGTTGTATGGATTCGGTGTTGGTTCGGATGACCGGGAACGCGGGATCTTGCCCGTGTTCATCACGTATCTCCGATCATCTCATTTCACTACCGACCTTCCCCATCACAGATGACGACAGCGTCTACTGCGATGCGGACGTACGGCGCGCGCTGAGGCGGATGGAGCAAGTGTGTTGGCAAGACCCGCCTCGGGCTTGTGAGATAAGGGGGAACGGGTTTGTGTTGATTGATTGCTTTGATTCCCCGACTCTAATATTACCTTATACGGGTTTAACGGTGTTGCCCCGGTCGGCCGCTCACTCCGCGTGGCGACCGCAGTTTGATGGTCGCTGGTGTCGCTAGGGGGACTCGTGTTCTTGGCGACGGCTGGTCCTGGGTTACGAGGGAGCGACACGTTTCCCCGAGCTTTCCCGTAGTGCGGGGGCGCTGCCCGCGCACTTTCGAATTCAGATGCCGGCGAGTCCTCCCGCCGCTTTACCCTCCTGGAAACTTTCGCGCGGACTCTGTGAGTCCGACGCGGAGGCTTGAAGGCGTCGAACCGACCACCTCTGCAGCAAAGACCCGAGGGTTCGGCCACTTTGTGAGGCCGATGATGAGGCCTGAAGGCTTTGAACCCGCCACCTATCCCCCAAACACCTGACGGCCGAAGTTTTGTCCTCCGCCTCCATGACCCTCTCCCCTTGATGCCTTTTTCCGTCCCGATGCATGACGGCAGTCCATTTTTGCGGAAACCTTTTTTTTTTTTTTTGAGTTTATCGTTTCGGAGTGATCTGACCCCCACGGGACTCCGCGACGACAGTTCGACTCCGGGGAGAACCTCTGGCACGAAACGAGGGCCTCCCGTTCCGTCCGGACGACTCAACCCTTACGGCCAAAAATACTCGGCCACGCCCCTCCTAGAACTCTGATCGGCGACCCCGTACGGGAAGCTGCGAGGGGGTGTGAGGTTGGTATCAGAGCTGATTCGTTTCGGCTCCGAGGTTTTCCTAGGACGATTACCCTGTTTTAAAGTTTCTCCTTTTTCTTTTTGATCTTTTCATTAGATTTTTCGCATTTTTTAGTAGGCTGGCTCCCCGCCGACAGAGGCCCGCGAATAGCAATCATAACCGAGCGAGAGGGCGGGCTCGAAACCCGCCTCCCGCGATGGTGGAACCCGGAATCGGGGGTGAAAACGACGACGACAACCACGCGGGGATGGCCAATCATCCCTTGTACTTTGTACCTCCTCCCTCCAAAGTTCCTATTTTTTTTTAAGATGACACCGATCCTCGCACCTGGCTAGCTGCCTTGAAAGCCCAGGGCTGGTCAGACCAGTTGCTCCGAGAACGAATTCCCGGAAGGTTAGTCGGAACCGCTTTTGAGTGATACGGACAAAACCCCTTCACTAATTGGGCAGCCTTCCAGAGGAAATTTCTCGATAGATTTGATCACATCGCACCAGGTCAATGCCTCCGTTTAATAAAGAAATGCACACAGCAGCCTCGGGAAACCTTGGCTAGATATGCTGAACGTTTTACGTACCTAGCCGAACGCTCCGGGGTGGATGAGAAAATGGTACGGACTGATTTCGTCAGAGGACTGTCAGTTCTCGTTTGCGGAAAAAGATCCGCAAGAAATGCAACCCTATAGAACATACCCTGACGGAGCTAATTCAGTACGCAATTAAGTACAGGAAAGAAAATTACGATGTAGGCCTGGACTCAGAATCCGACGAAGATGACCCTTCGGGTGTTTGACGCAATAGCTACTCCGCTACGGCACGAATGTTCGAAGATCGCTTCGGGTTGGGTCCGACAAAAAAAGGCTCGGATCGGAAAGCTTCTTCCTCTGCTTCGGCCTCCCGTCGCTCTAGTCAAACGCAAGGAGGCCGGGGTGAGGGAGAAGTATCCATGAAAGAAGTCGCGGCCCAACTAGTTACGGTAGTAGCCCCGTTGACGGAGTTTGTTCAAGGTCTCCAACGGCAACGCATAGCCGCCGCACAACGGCAACAGGCGGCTATGGCTGTCGGAGCCCCTATGATAAGACCGGCCGTGGCCGGGGCTGTCCCACCCCTACGCTGTTATAACTGTAATCAGCCAGGCCACCTTGCGAAAGATTGTCCGAAACCCCGAACTCAGGGCGGGCCCACCGGACCTTCCCAAATCCCGCTGGCTGCTCCCACCGCTGCAGGATAGGGGAGGGTAGCCACGGTAATGGACACAAGAAGGACGGAGATGGTGACCCCGGCGGCCACTGAGATAAAACCCGATAAGTATATGGTGGCTGCGATGTTCGAACCCGGGACCATCAGAGTGATACGTCACGTCCAACGAATTACCGAGGAAAGCGACCTCAGGCCGTGGCGACCAGGATTCGAGGATCTTGCGGTACCTGGTCCTGAATACAAGGATGGCCATATCGACGTATTGGATGTCTTGAAGGCTCTGGATCTTCGGATCCCCGTCCCTATTCCATATCTGCTAACCATTTCCGAAGCGGCTAACGAAAAGTTGATCGAACGGTGTTTTAAAAACAAGCGCCGATTCGAGGAAAGTCGAAAGGGCAAAAAGCCGGTCCTAAGGGACCCACCCACAAACGAGGAGTCACAGCCCTCGACCTCAAAGGTGCACGAAGCCAACCGGATAGGGATGATCCAGACCGTAGATTCCGCCTCGGAAAAACCCGAGGTATTCCTCCGGGCCTATCCTATAGCCTGGAAAAGCGTAGAGTGTGACTGTGAGGTCTGGGGAAACCCCTCGGCTGCCATCCTAGACTCAGGATCATCGGCGGTCGCCATTTCTTGGAGATTGACGAAACAGTTGGGAAGGGAAGGACAGGTTCAGCCCCTCCGACCGGATGAACTGTATATATCTGCTACGGAAGATAGTATTCATTGTAAAGGGCGAATAACGAACGTGCCCATACGGGTGGGGCGGGGGCATTGTTTGTGTGACGTAATCGTGCTGGATGTACAAGCGTATGATGTTCTGCTAGGCATTCCGTGGCAGGCGGCGGTCGGAGCGCGAATGCACTTTGACAACTGTAAGGTGGTGCTCACATCAGCCCACCCCAAACCCCAAACGATACCAATGAGACTGGCGGTGCGCATGCGCACCCAGCCGGCGCCTCGCCTCACCACGAAAGCCCATTAAATCAACATGATCCGGCGCCTGTCACCAGACGAAAATGAACCCTCGACGGAAACTGACAACACTGATGTACCCGACCGATATCCGATCCGAGTTCAGGGTCGGTGGCGCCACTCTTGGCGGCGAGAACCACTGGAAATAGTTCGGAGCGAGTCCAATTGGTCGCACGCGTTCTCCTCTGTGGTGCAGGGGGAACCCCTGCTGAGGATGTCCCGAATAGCTGACCTTTCGGAACCCCCTGCGTCCTTGTATCTCAGGACGGACCCCCTACCTGAAAGATTTACCGAGCTGAGGGGGCTGTGCGATTTATCTTTTCGACCTCCACGGCCCCTACTCACAAATGAAAAAGCCGCGATACTCCTGAAAGAAGGGGTGTCGTTTCAACCTCGAACGAGGGAGTATCGGTGGGGACCGAGGGAACTGGCGCAGGCCTTTTCGGTTGAACCCTCGGCCGAACCCGAACTGGACAGTGACAGCGACATGGAAAGCGAGCCGATGAGTCCAGCGGATAGCCAACTTATTGCGACGGTCCTTTCGGCGAAAACCGACAACTCTTTGTTTGGGGCCTCGCCCGATGCCAACGCGGCGGTCCCCACGGTTACGACGACGGTCTCCTTTCCTGGGGGAACTGTAGAAGTTCAGTTACCAGCCCATGTTCCGGACGAATACAAACGCCTCCTCTTGGCGGTTATACGGGCCTATCCTGAGGCTGTAAGTATTCAGGACCACGACATAGGGCTAACCCCTTTGATACAACACGCGATTGACACCGGGGATCACGCCCCGATACATTGCCGACCGTACCGATATTCCCTTAAAGAAAGGCAGTTGGCGTTGGAAAGGGTACGGGAATTCGAGCGGTTGGGGTGGGTCGAACCATCGCTGGGACCATGGTCTTTTTCCGTGGTCCTCGTGCCAAAACAAAATGGCTCGGTTCGGGTATGTATCGACTACCGGAAATTGAACGCCATCACTACCAAAGATGTGTATCCCTTTCCGCGAATCGATGATTTGTTAGACGCTATCGAGGCCGCTCGAGTCTTTTCCAAGTTCGATATCCGACACGGTTTTCACCACGCCGCAGTCCGACCGGAGGACCGACCCAAAACCACCTTTGTCCTATTTGAGGGCACGTGGCAATGGGTCCGGTGTCCCATGGGAATTTGTAACGCCCCTGCAACGTTTTAGCGGGCCATGAATATGGCCTTCGATGAGTTCGTTAACAAAACCCGACTGACCCAGCCCCTGATCAATTTCTGCGTGATTGTGTACATGGATGATATTTTGGTCTTTTCAAAAACACACGAGTACCACGTGGAACACATTGAGTGGGTTTTGCATGCAATGAAAGATGCGGGGTTCAAAGTGGCCTTTAAGAAAAGTGAGTTCTTCTTGTCAGAGATCTCATTCTTGGGGTATATCGTCACGGTCGACGGACTAAAACCGGATCCGAGGAAGGTGACAGCAGTTCAAGACGCCCCGGCGCCGGTCACACTCACCCAGGTTCGGGCTTTTCTAGGGCTGACATCCTATTACCGACGCTTCATCAAGGGGTTCGCCGGCATAGCGAAGCCCCTCACGAACCTGCTGAAGAAAGAGGAACAGCTGATCTGGACGCCGGAATGCGAAGTGGCGTTTGAGGCGTTGAAGGAGGCTCTGACATTTGCTCCTGTGTTGGCGCGCCCCGACCCGACAAGACCATTCGCACTGTACACATTCTGGCAGCCTCAGGTGATATCGGCGGTGCTGACTCAGCACGACAAGGACAGAAGGGAGCACATCATTGAGTATGCGTCCAAGACGCTGAGCCAGGCGCAGGCTAATTACGAAGCGTGCAAAGGTGAATGCCTGGCGGTGGTGTGGGGGATTCAACATTTCCGACCATATCTGTACGGCCAGAAATTCGTGCTGGTTACGGATCATCAGCCGCTGCTGTCCCTACGCAACAACACGGACTACACGGGGATGCTGGGCAGGTGGGCGGTGCGTCTGCAAGACTATGACTTCGACATCCGCCACCGTGCCACACGGCAGCATGGTAACGCCGATGGATTAACGCGCCTTCTGCCGCCCAACAAGTGTCCCGCCAACGAGCGACTCATTCCGTGGAGGCCAGAAGTCGCGGTGACGAAACCGCACGACGGGGAGTTACACATGCTAAGTAAGGACGACGCCTGAGTCCGGAATGGAGGTTTCATCGGAGATGGACGACGCTATCTCTCTGCCCTCGTCCCACTCCATCGCTCTCTCGTCTAGCCCCAACTCATCCTCTGAAACACACCGTAGTCCTTGTTTCTTCTGTACCTTGCCTATGATCCCAGACCAAGAAGGGTCACAGCCGGGAGGACCCAGTTTTCTTTTATGGGTACAGTGTAGTCAGTGTCATACGGTCAAATCTCATGGACAATGCGTTAGGTACCAAAGTGAAAAGACGTGGGTCTGTCCCAACTGTAGAACGGACCAAGTCCCTACCGAGAAGCGGTATCGGGACGCTAGAACAGCCGACGGATTTGCGCCAAGTGCCCGCCGGGCAGAAGCCTGGACGGACCTTCTGTTGCTACGGAGACTGTCAGGCGACTCGTTGTCAGAACTTGCCAAAGCCGAACGGCGGAGAGTCACGGAGCGGGCGCAGGACTATCGTTGGCAGGGCCCGACGTTACAAAAACAGAAGGTCGATGACGACGTAGAGTCTAGCTGGTTGACGGTTCCACACCCTCTTGCTAGGTTCGATTGGACACGAGCCGCTCATGAGGAGGATGCGATCCATTTCGCGGTCAAGTACACGGAAAAAGCCATCGAAAAGATGGATGGTACTGGTCGGGAATTCGGGAAGATGTGAAATACATCGTTCATAATTGCCCGGCCTGCGCGGCAGACTAGGCGCCACTACAGATGCCTCAGACGATGGTGCCCACTCGTGTAGAGCGCCCCTTTCAGAGGGTTAGCATCGATACGATGGATATCAATGTTCCAAGAGGGCCCGTCGATCAGGGAGAACTCAATGTTCTTTTAGTGGCCGTCGATCATTTTTCAAAATGGATCGAGGCGTACCCTATGACCAGCCGGAATTCGCAGGAAGTAGCCTGGTACGTAAATCGATTTTTGTGCATGCATCTAGACGTAGAAGAGGTACACATGGACAATGGGTCGAAATTTCAAGGCGAAGTAGAACGTCACCTAGTCAGGGCAGACGTAAGGAGTATCTACTCACCGGGGCATTGGCCTCAAGCCAATGGCCTAGTAGAGAATGCCAACCGACTGATTAAGATGGCCCTTAGACGGAATATCACTGCGGGAGACACCCGACCCTGGCCGTTTATCGGGCTACCCCACACGGTAGTACTGGGGTGTCCCCCTTTCAACTGAGAACCAATAGTGTCCCTCGGGTGCAATTGTCCCCCTTAGTAGGTACGGAAGTTAGAGCAACACGGGCCCAAAATCGAGACAAGGCCAGCCACTACATGGACTTAATGGCTAGGGCCTATCCCCCGTTAGCTCGCCGTCGACAGCAGGCCGTAGATCGGACACATCAACGGCAGATCCGTGACTACGAGAATTGACACGCGTCGGCGGGACCACTGCCCCGCTATAAAGTTGGGGACTTGGTGCAGGTACGAAAATCTGCGCGTTCCTCCAAGATCCACCCGCGCTACACAAGCATTTACGAGGTCACGGAAGTTGGCGCACAGGGACAGCACTCCGTGAAGCTGATTCCCCGTCACAACTCCCAGGCCCGACCGTTGACACGGCACGCTGCCGCGCTTCGGCCCTTTCAGCCATCGCTAGGTCCCCTACGGACCCCCGCTCCTACGAGATCACCCTCTCCTTCTTCATCCTCCTCCTCTTCCCGATCTGCCTCGTCCATTGGTGCTGAGAGTTTCAGGGAGCAGGATGAACCATCGCCAGCCGGAGCATGAGCCCCTCGAGCACTTCCAGACGCTGCTTGCAGATCGCTTGTTGCGGCATCGGTTTAATGAGGAGAGGCAGTTGCGGTACGACATCCAACAGGTGAACGTGCCAGCGCTCGGGGTTGCTGATTTGGCAGCGTACTCGTTGCTTTGCGATCAGTTGACATATGCAGGAGTGTACAAGGACGTGACGCAGTTGCCTGGCCGGGAGACGACCCGAGTATTCATTGAGTTTCGTGCGCTCCAGGTGGCACCTAACTTCGTGCACAGCGTCGCCACCTTCATCAGAGACTTGACGGTCCTACCGCAGCAGAATCGGGAGCCGGCGCGCAGCTTTGTGCGTGAATACGCTGTGGAAAAGGCCAGATCAGTGGCCAGAGTGCAAGGACGGGGGGGACACCGATTCACAACCCACGAAGTGCTGCTGCGTAGGGCAGAGGACGAACCGATTGCGTTGGTGCCGCAGCTCCCCGCGCTTTTCCCTCCCGCTGCTCCTCTCAACCTCCAAGCTATTCCCCCTATCCCATACTAAATGCCTCCTTTCTTCTCCTACACCACCCTCCCCTACCAGCTCACGGAGGGCCCTCACCCCATGCGCGAGTTCTCGAAGTATTTGGTGGAGCTAACTGACGTGGAGCCGCTGCCCTTCGCCGACGAAGACGCGTGGGAGTTGCACCGTGCGCTGTACAAGTCGGTGGCGCTGGGGATGTTCCGGTTCTTCGTGGATCACGAAGACCACGCTATCGGGGAGCACTTCGTCGTTTACTACGTCATCGCGCGGCCCAAGCCGGCGGAGAAGGAAGGGACGGTGGCGCTGTACCCCTTCGCCCCGCTCCAGACAATTGATCCGGGATTGTTGGAGCTCATACATCTTGAGCTCCTCTCCATTGCGCAWGTGATCGCGAGCGAGGAGGAGGAGATCCAACCACGATTGCGGACGGCGACGGCCCTGCGGAGAACGTACAACGCGGTCGTCATCTTGGATTACATTGCGCAGCGCGCTGAGAGATTGGAGGACTTCCCGGAGGAAAGGCCGTTGCGTCCTCCCTCGTCGTATCCTCGACCAGCGCCACCGAAGGCCCCCAAGAAGACGCCGAAGAGGAAGAGACGCCACCCGTCACCAGGAGCGCAAGGCAGCAGGATCGGCGGCGGCGAGGAGGTGATTCAGCCCGCGCATACGCGGATTCCTGACCCTGTGCCTGGGAGTGCGGCGACGCTCGTTAAGGAGACTATCGTGCCATCGCCGCCCATTCCGCGTGTGCCCGATCTCAATCTTGATGGAGACGGGCCATCATCAGCAACAGCAGCTGGAGGAGGAAGCCGAATGGGATTTCCGGATCCCATATCCAGACCCCCCGTCCTCGCGGGACCTCTCCGTTCCCGCCAGCCACCCCGGGGTGCCCCGGTCATTGACATTAGTAGTTCATCCGAGCCGGATGGTCCATCCGACCGAGGTGGACTTCATGGTGGAGCCCGCCACCATCAGGCTCGAGGCCATCGCGGGGGCGCCTCGCCCTCATCCGGCGTGGGAGCCATATCTGACAACCCCTTTCCAAGGGTGTATTGCGGCGCGATTGGCTAGGACGCTCATCTACGAGACCGGGCAGCGTCCAAACGCGATGTACCACTTCCTGGTCTTTGCGGCGCAGAAGCGGGAGCGGCGGCCTTACACCGAGACTCATGTGGTGATGACGGGTCCAGGGCCCCGATCGGTGCGCAAGCGGGTGGTGCGAGCGGTAGCGGATCTGGCGCCCCGTGTCCTCTTACATGTGCCGGGGGCTTTCCTTCACCCCTCAGTCGCCCAGCATCACTTCCATGAGGGAGATGCGCCGACGACTCCTGCGGCAATGGCCGCTTTTCTTCCACCTATTCCGCCCCCTCTCAATCCCGACATAGATCACTTCTTCTGATAACCCTCGTCTACCTCTCCCCTGTCATCTCCTTCTCCTTCTCTTCTTTTTCTTCTTCTTTTCCGATCTCCCCTTTTCGAATAGCGGCCGCGGTATGAAAACCAAGAAACGGGTGCGGTTGGGACTTTTTGAATTTTTGCGCGCGCGCCCAAGCTCCGATTTTTTTTCGCGC